TAATTTCACATGAATCTTTGACAATTTTGCCAAGTCATGATTGACTAGGTACAATAGGTAATACAACTCAAGAGGTTCAATCAATTTGACAAGAATTTTTGATAATACAAGAACAAGAATCAGCTAAGGGAAAAAGAATGCCTACAGTATTAGACAAGTGGAACCTAATAAATGCAACCCCTTGCCATACAAGGCAAATTGGGTGATGTACAGTGAAATGCATTGCATCATTTTTCTTATTATTATTTTTTTTGTGTGTGGAAACATGGCTGAGCCACAACTGTATTAATCAAGGTTGGTTACACACCACATCAGTAAACAGGAATGCCCACAAACACCAACTTTGACGGGCATAACAATTTGAAATTGCACTTTTCTAAAATTTAATTTTAGGGGTCATAAGTCTTATTGTTAAATATGGTTTGAAGTTAAATGAACATATAGAATATCAACATGTGCTTACAGATGCACAAGTAGTAAGACCATTAAAATACATTAGGATGTCCGTTGCTACCCTAAATCAGTTTTTCCTCATCAAATGTATGAACTAAGTTGAAGATGCACGGACACAGATAGAAACAAAAAGAAGTAACCAAATGACATTAACACAGGCTGTACCAAGATAGAACTGTCCTTGCACCTATAGCTCTATAGATTAAGGAGTCCAAAAAAGAAAGAAACAGGAGCATGTATTTTGATGGATGAATGCAACATTGTTCAATGTCAAAGTACAGACAAAGGTACTGTCTTGTCTAGAGAGTCATACATATAGTATATGAAATACACAACAAAAAAAGAATATAAGGAAATGGATAGAAATTATAACATGTAGGACACTATCAATTGTTTTCTTGAGCAATCACAGACAACAAATTTGTGCAGTCAATAAACTTTGCATCACAATAAAAATATTTAAGAGTTAAAGAAGGAAAAAAAGCAGCTGGACAAATCACAAACATCAGAGGTTTGAAAAAATAAATTAGCTGATAAATTGAACTGATGCAAAAGGAGAGAGCCTACCAAGGACCTCTCCACATGCAAATTATATTAAGGCTGACTATACAAAAATGCAACTACTATCATAATAGAGATTCATGTTAAAGTGTGATGTTTCAAGTGATGTGCACTGGCATTAATTATGCTTTAGAAGACATATTTACATCATATTAACTTAAAAGCTAACAAGGCCTCAAAAAGTACATAGTACTACATACATACAACATAATTGAAAAGAAGAAAGTGTTCCTATCCTGTAACTAGAGTGAGCAGCAAACAGCTCACACATCTTGACACAGAAAAGAAAAGAAATGCACAACAAAATAAACATTAGAACAGAAAATATGTTCAAGGAAAAGCGCTGACTGGAATGATTCCAGATGTAGATTATTGATTGAATGATGAAATACAGAACCACTGTACTAATTTTAAATCATAGTTAATAATAAATTTGTTATGTGGCTCAATGGAAACATTTTTACAATGCATTCAAAAGAAAGCACTGATTACAATTAAATGAGTCATTAAAAGCAGCTCTGAGCAGTCAACTCCTTTTCCCACTCAATTTTAAATCACAGAGATACAAATAACCATGCACACACAAACACAGATACAGCAATTATTTCTGTGCTTTGCACCAATCATTCTCAGTCATGCCTCTGAAGTTGAGCAAATGGAACTGGCACACCAACTGCAAATTAAGCAAAATAGGACCTTTAGAGTAAGTTAAATCTCTTAACTTTGAAATTTTACCACTAAAGGGTTTTAAGAGCTTTGCTCTTTTGGAAAAAAAATCTTATAACAATCTATATGGTAAAAGAAAAGCTAGTACAGATTGAGATATTTTGATAAAAATTACAAGGGCACATATCAATGCAAAATGATGAAAAGTAACTAATCAGCCTTTTAACAGCTACCACCCTACAGAAAAGATTTCCCACAGAGGTACCAGCTTCATCCTCTTGCAGTCTAGTTGTCAATTGGATAGGAAAGCACAATAACATATAGAGAGTATTGTGCATTAGATATGTGCTAACTATTTATACGGGAATAGTGAACACCCTCACAAACATTCAATAGCACCTTTTAAATACACATGTACCTGATCGTACATGCTTGTGAAGACTATCATCAGAAAAGAAAGTTGTGTAAAAGCATAAAAATAACATTAATCAAGTACTGAACTATATCCTTGTTAATATTATATTTGCTGAGCACAATTTATAATTTATGAAGGACTATCTAAAATACCTATTTTCCACCAATTACCCCATGAAAACAATCTAGTGGGGCGGGCCTTTGATTGCTCAGTGTCATTTAAATTTGTGCGACTTACAGATGTACTACTAATATTACTTCTTCGAACCTGACTGGTGTGAAATTTCCTACCTCCAGGTGATGAATGGACCGAATCTCTAGACTTGGCAAGTTCACGGCGACTCAAGGATGAAGAGGAAGCAAGAGATGGATTCTTGCTGAGGTTACCATCATTTTTTGCAGGTGTACTACGTGATCTTGGCCCACCCAGTGACTCGCGGCTGCCATGGTGCACAGATGCTGAAGAACTTCTCCCAATTCCTCCTGAACTCAGAGAGTCACGGCTGCGACCGGCTGGTCCAAGTGATGGGCTGCTGTCCCTTCTCTGTCTCCAAGACAGAGTTGATCCATCAGGTATGGATGTTCCACGTGAGGCAGGAGAAGAAGCTGCTTTCCTCCTCTTCAAGGTCTCTCTCCCAGTACTGCTGATGCTGGTGCCAGTGCTGTTCGAGGTACCATCTTGTGAAGTCTTGTTGCCAGGTGGCTTTGGCGCACAATATGATTTCACAAGTGGAATCTTACTGGGCCGGCGGCGAGGGGACATAGGGGCTTTGGGAAGTGCTATGTGAGACGATGTTGGAGATGCAGCAGGGGTGGTTGTAGGTGCTCTTTGGCCTTCGGTATCGTGAGCAGATTCTGTGCTACTACTGTGCTGTTGGTTAACTGTCTCATCTCCAGTTGCAATGTTTTGCAAAGGTGGTTTCATTTGAATCTGATTATCTGCTGGAAGAGTAACTTGATGAATCTTTTCAAGCACACGTACTCTGGCCCTAGTTCCCTCCAACTCTATATTTCTCTCTTCTAGTTGAAACCTCAAATCATCATTTTCATCTCGAGTTGTATCCAGCTGCTGTGTCAACCCCTCTCTTATTCTTTGCTCACTGACACTTCTCAATCTCAGAGCTTTGTTTTCAGCCATACTTGTCAATAAATGTCGTTGAAGTTCCACATGATCCGTTTCCTTCAAAACAGCAGCAATCCGATCAACATCAGGATCAATTCCGCGAATAAAGTTAGGAATTTCATTAGGGCAACTTATGATACCATCAAGAGTGCCTAACTTAACATTCCTCCCAACAAATTCAGAGCGAGTGAGGTGAGAAGAAGACTCACTGTAACTGGCACAGTCACTAGCTGCAGAGCCACTTGCTGATCTATCTGTGGACTGGAAAACCTTTGATTCTCCACTACTGCTTTTGGAGTACCGAGACTGACTAATGGGCTCTCTGAGCTTTTCTTCTGATTGAGAACTTGAGGATAAAACTGGAGTGAAACAAGAGGAGGCTGTTGGTTTGACGGGCTGACTAGAGATAAACTGAGTTACCACACCAGCTCGTTTCGGCGATTGGACTGCCACTGGTTTTACAAGAGTACCATTGACGTTACTCCCTGGGTTTCTCACAAACTGTAGATGTAGATCATGTATCCTTGAGTTAAGTTCAGTTTTTTGGGACATGGCTGATTGAAGTTGGTCTTCTAACTCTCTTTTGGCAGAAGATAAGGCACCAATCTCATTCTTCAGGTGAGATGTGCGAGCTCTGCTAGACAACATTTCAGCTTCCATTTCTGCCAATCTATCAAGGAGGAGGTCTCTCTCTTTCCTTAAGCTACGCACTTCTTCTCGTCCTAATTCTAAGAGCTGTTGAGTACGAAAATCCACACTATCACGAGAATCTTCATCAGCTAGGTCACCACGATCTAAATACTCATCTGCAATGTCACCAAAACATTTCTCAACACTTCTTGATAATCTTTCTCTTGGTTGCAAAGATGATGCTCTTAAGTCTCGTGAACTGTCACTAGAAGGAACACAACCAAGACTTCGGGCTCGTCCTCTATCTCTGTCTCTATACCTCTCACCGTTTCCATCTCGATCTTGAAGCCGTGTTTGAAGATGTTCAACTTCCTGGCGTAGTTTAGTGCCTTTACGGTGAATAACGTCAAGTAAATTCCATAATTCATCTTCTGCACTAGCAACACTGGCACCACCACCTCTCTGACTCGTACTACTGGAAGCAGAATAGTGTTCTTTACTCTCTGTGCCAAATCCTGAATCTTGAATGGCACTGCTCCCAGTTGAACTACTACCACTACTGGCATTTGCACCATTCAGAAGTTGTGATGTAGGATATTTAGAGCCCTGACTATTACTGCGGCTTCGGCTCAGTGTCAGAGAGCTAGAATTTGCTTCGTGATCCTTGTTCCCCAGTTTTCGTTTGACCCTGACTCCTGGCTCCCATTCTCGTCTGGTGGTGGGTACTGGTATATGCGACATTCCAGCGTTGGAAGAGTTGGGTGTGGTATTGGAGCTCGAAAGCGCACCCGAACTACTTGGCTGTGATGCCATCTTACTTCGAAGATGGGGGAATGTCTCAATAACAAGATCACGGAACTCCAGCAATGCGCCGACCTCATTCTGTAATTCATGTAGAGCTGCGAGGGACTTTGCTTGTTCATTCATGAGGTAGTGGAGCCCAGAGCCGTGCTGCTCTGAGCCAGAGTCCATGCCAAGGTAGGAGAGCCCCCTACCCGTAGGTGTACCCTGAACAGCAAACGGTGAGCACTGCACATAATACTCTCTGGTCATGCTTTAACCTGACCAATCTGCTAGATGGCACTTCCACAAGTCTGCAGTCCATCGAGTCCGCTCGGGCCATTGAGGCCAAACATTGAGCAGCAAACACAGTGGCAAGGTCGCGAGCCAATTAGCAGCACTGCTGTCAAACGGACACGCAAGCACAAATATCACTAAATCACTTCACTGGCCACTTTCACCATCTCATCTTCATCTTCCAGAGCACTGTATCCATTCCCGTGAGGCCCAACACTCGCGAAATGCTTTCGTACACAACTTTCCATGAAAATGTTCGATCTGGGCGTACAGAGAGCACCGCGAACCCCGACGCAGCTTTCGAAATTCGAAAGTGACTGGTACTGGTAGTACCACGGACCTAGGTGCCCCCACGGCCTCTTTTGACGATTAGTCAACACGCAAGACTGGCTGCACTCGACACGGCTCGGCGCAGGGCAACCAGCTGTTTGTCCGTCTGCTAGAAGGCAGCGTGCTGCCAACATGCCAACCACGAACACCACGAACACGTCCGAGAGTCGCCACGGCTTTCAGTGCACGCTCAAAATATGGCCTGTTTAATTTGTGGAATGAGCTGTGAAAATTCAGAGAAGGTGTGGCTTGCAGACGAGTAGCTGACAGGGTTCTGCGTCCGAAGTAGGAGGGAACGTAAGTAGCACCCCCTGATGCCCGGCGGTACATTTAAAGGGAAATGAAAAAAAATCAAAAAAAATCTTGTCTTTCCCTTGAGTATGCTTGAAAATGAGGGTGTGTCGTGATCGTGATTGAATGAACAACAATAGTTTCAAAGATAAGGCAGTAGCTAAATTGTTTATCACCGTCATTTATTTATATACATGATATGTACACACACATCTCAAAGTCGACAGTCCACAAACTGGTGTCTGACATAATTACATCAACATTTACTATGTACACAACAAATATGTTCATGAATCATTATTAAAATCTATTTCCAACACATAACTAGTATGGGAATAATATCACACAGGTCAAAGATTACTATGCAACCCTGACAACTACAGCACAAGTTTAGAGCTGCCTATTTTCTTAAGCACAGTAATAAATTAAATTTGTAGTAAGGATTAAAAGAAGCTGATCAATCTTTTCAATCATTTGAAACAATAACAAATGGAAGTCTAAAAATTGGTTCAGCAGAACACTCGGATGATAGGTGATAGGACGCCAAGCACCAAGTAAGATAAGATCATATATCTAGAAAATATCACAGGTACACTTCTAAGATCAAATGTATATGTTATAATACCATTGACGTATTTAGTTTGGTCTGATATGGTTCTTTCGAAAGACAAAATAATTATTGTGTTAAATCACAAACATGAAATACCCCAATTTTGAAACAAGTATAAGCTGCAAAATAGGAAGCAAAGGTTAATTCCTAACGGATAATACCTAATTCACTGCAAGAGAAAGATATAGCTACCTAGGTTTTCCATTCCCTGTAAATAGCTGCCCCAATTTTAAAGATTGGCACAAATTTTTAACTGTATTTGCTAGAAATGGCTGATGAGAACTAATATAATGTATAGAGTATTACATTTTCTTGAATACAACTTGAATGAATGAAAGATTAAAATATCACGAGCAACTTTGAAGTGGTCTGGATATGTTTTAAAAGCGGAAAAACTGATGAAAATGAAAGAAACACTTTGCAGTGAGCAGAGCAACTAAAAAATTAATGAGTAAAATGTGGTTTAAAACAAGATGGAGCAGGAAGATACCTACAATAATGGCACAACATGATATAACATAGATAAAATACAGACCAAACATTTGTTTTCAAAATTTAACAAAGAGATTTAGCATTGTCATTAGTTATTGGCACTGGCACAGGTATCATACACAGCTCATTGGATCTGTGATAAGCAGATCATACATCAGAATGCACCATTGACATAAAATGGAATTACATATCCCATTTTATGATCTGAGGGATGGAAAATGAAATGACACTGGTGCCAGAAGATAAATATTGACATATGACAAATAAAATGATATTTTTTAAACTGTAGGTGAAAATATCTTCATACAGTAACTACTATTTCAGAACATACAGAACAACTGATGGGTTCGGGTAACCCATATATTTATGGAAACTCAACTTTTTCAGTCATATAATACACATATTTTTATCATTTTTATAGTACCTATCATTCTGATTTTTGTTTTTGTTTTATTGACTTAAAACAGTACAAGAATTTGATCAAGTCAGAGAAGATAAACTATTTTACGACCAATTCAAATGTAGGTATTAAAATAATAAGAAAACCAAAGTCCTTATCAGTCCTTTCATTTCCAATTATTTGAATGGCTAACCAAATAAAGTTTCTCATCACACATTGGTGTACAACAAGGCAAATCTGTTCAGACTGTTTGCCTGATGACACAGTCAGTCTTCTCTAGCTACCCCACTCAAAACAATTTTCTTTTCTCAACTGAAGCTTAATAATTTAAGAAATGAATGAGATCAAACACTAGAAAGCTAATGGAGGGGGATCTCATTTTACAAGAAGGCACTGATTACAACAGTTCACTTGCCATTTAACAAAACTGACAATTCCATCAAGAGAGGAAAATTATAAAACACTTGGTCAAAGATAAAGTAATGAAAGCAGTCTTTTAAAAGAAATCAATACTGCAATAAGAATGTAAGTAGAATTTTTTTTTAAACTGGCAAGCCAGTGTATTATATTAATCAGACACAGAAAATAGGAGATGCACCGCATTCTAATGGCCCCAGCATAGACATTTATACACTTTGAAATACAAGTTAACAAATTAAGCAAACATTGATTAATTGAATACTTTTTAACAGACACAGACAAAAAGGCATTTTTTGGTTGTAAGACTTATTTCAAACCTTACAGACTAAAGCACAAGTTTCCAGGAATACTCAATGCGCTTTTCTTCCAATTCAAAATTACTAATAAACCGCAATAGCCATATTTCTGAAATGCATAAATGTGCTGGGAGGTTCCCAGCAATGCAGGTGTCATACAGATGTTTGGGTGACCTTAGTCCATGGCCGATGAATATCAGCCCCCTCAACTTCAGAATCATCAATATCACACAAATTGGTAGACAGATCACTTTGACTTCTAAGTAAAGATGTCCCCTGATGGTGGCGTCCATTGTAGGTGTATGGTGCAACATCTTCATCATCAGACTCAGGCAGTGGGTTATGAGGTAAATAGTTGTTTGGATGCAGCAAATAGCTATGAGCATCAATATCCTCAGAGTCATCGACACAATCTTCTTCATTTAATGTTTCCATATCACGAAGGCCATTGATAGTTTCACCCACTAGAAAATAAAAACGGAAATTATAATATAGTACACCAAATCTCGATTCAGCACCTGTATAAAGGCAAAATGTGTTCACAACTTACTTGAGGGTAGCATGAGGCTAACATTCGGTCTACCCTCATTACTCTCATCACTATGGAAACTGCTGGAGTCAGGCACTTCACTACCTGGAACCTCTGTGATGTTTGGAAGAGGTGGCTGGCAGGGTCGAGACCAGTCTGAAATGTCCCAATGGTATCCAGGGGACCGATAGCAGTCCTCTGTTCCCTTACCCCCTATTAGAAGAAAATATATATTTTTTTAAATTACCTTTCCTATAATTGATTCAATTCAATGCTACTGTAATTTATGCAACATTCACACATACCGTTATTCAACTTGCTCATCTCACTTAAAGGCAGTTGAATTGGGGCACCGACAACATTCATAGGAGACTGCCTATTTAAGTTACGAAGGTAATCAGCAGGCACATTTTCTAGTTCGTCCCCTGCAGAGCCATAGCTCCTCAAAGTATCTAAATTGTTCAGGGTAGCGGCGATGTATTGCTCATGATGAGTGCTAGGAGTAAAAGATACTGGCCGAGCAGGACAGGACAATGGCTCTCGCTGTAATCAACATCATATATTAAATTACATTGGTAAATAAAAATAAAAGCACTGAACTACATATGGCATAAAGAACATACCTGACTAACTTCTAGATTACTGAGTTTAGAGCTTCTTTTAAAATCAGAGTTTGTGAGACGTGTTGAATTAAGAACCATATCCTTATTTGTTCCATTATTTATATTACTTCCTCCTCTGTTGTTTTGTCTATTTATACGAAACCTACGATAACAGATACAGCCCACAACCGAAAAGATGATGAGGAAGAGAGTAACTGTAATACCTGTAACCAAAATTATCTCTATTATCCCTTAAACAATTGAAGAAAAAAAAATCACTTTTGAAAAATAAACATCACTGATTATACTAACCCAGAATTTCATCCCAAGTAACATTGTAAATTGATGATGTGATGGAGGTGTGGAAGACACTAGTGCCACAATCAATACCAGTCATATTTATGGGACAGACACAGTAGAATGCTCCTGGTGTATTAACGCAAGTAGAACCACTATAGCATGGTGATGATGCACACTCATCAATGTCTTGGGAGCACAACTCTCCTGTGAAACCCACTAAGCATTTGCACAGGGGCCCTTCATCCCCCTCTTCACAGGGCAATTCGTTGGCACAAGGATTGGGAGAGCAGAAGTGACCATACTCACATCTCTTACCTTCAACATAAAAAAATTAAAAAATTAAAATGTTGAAGCATAGAAATTTAACTTTACGCACAGAAAATTTAAAACACAGTGAGCCTGAATGTAGTAATAGTAAGAAAATATAAGGCAACTATATTCTTACCACTTAATCCTTCTTCACAATCACATCTGTATGTTCCACCTGGCAGAGCAGAACAGCGTCCACCATACAAGCATGGTGAAGATGCACATGGAGAAGTGTCTCTTTCACATCTAACACCAGTGAAACGTTCAGCACACAAACAGGAAAAGCCCCCTCCATTGGATGGGTCATTATCATCTCTGCATGTTCCACCATTTAGACATGGATGATGACTACACGGACCAGGAGGCAAAGGTGGCCCACATGTAAACTGAACATTAGTTAGTCGTTTAAGAGCAGCGTAAATACTTGCACTTGAAGAGTGTAACGGAACAGGAGTGCCCCAAAGCTGAACAACATCCAAACAGCCTGTAAAGCCTTTGGAGAGTGTTTCAAATCCCAAAACTGTTGAGTGTTGTTGAACCTATCAAGGAAAACAAAAATTAAAATGATCACTTAATACAGATTGAGTTTAATTTAAAAGACGTTGTGACAATAGACAAGCTCCTTACCTCTGAGCCAAAGTATAGAAGGTTGCTAATCTTTGTGGTGCCTCGTTGAATTTGGGTGTTAAGAATTCCAGCAGTACCAGGTGACACCCCCTGAGCAACATGAGTCTTGTCCACAACCAATCGAGCACTATTGCCTTTACGCTGCAGATTTACCTCATGCCAGTGGCCATCATCAACTGCTATGCTTGTAACTCGAACAATACCCTCGCCACTTCCCAGTTCAAATCTGAACTGCATTATACCACTCACCACCTAAAACAAATCATAGATAAAAAATGCAACCAAAGTTATAGATATTAATTAGTTGTAGAAAAAGCATGACTAAGCTGCAGTCGTACCTCTAATATAGCATAGTCAAACTGCCCAGCAATGTAGACAATATTTCCTGTTGGATAAAGAGTGCGAAGGCGAAGGCTAACATTTAATTCTTTTTCAAGCCATGGTCTGGTAATGGTATAATGAGCATAACTTCTCCCTGTCATTGACATGGGACTACGAGGACTGTAGCACACATTCTGACAATTTGTTTCATTTTCTTGACAAACAGGTCCAGCAATTCCTTCTGGACATTCACAAGAGTACCCCAAAGCAGACCCATCAGGCATGCACATCATGTTATCAGGACATGGTTTGTTTGCACATTTATTAACTGCACTGTCACAACGTTCACCTGGATATGAGATTAATATCAATTAGTCATTGAAATACAGTACTTCATGAAAGATAAATGATATAAGGCTCCCTTCCATAGAATTTTGGAGAAAACCAAACTCACCCGAGTAGCCCTGAGAGCAATGACACACAGTTTCTAGTTGATGGTGAGGTGAAACAAAACTCGATAGTTGTGTGCTCACAACAGTGACTGCAGATCTGTTCAGAGAAACTCTGTCTTCACAAGTCCCGAAAGCACAGTACGAGTCTGTGCAATGTCTTTGAGCCACCTGATAAAGTTCAAGCCCTAAGGATGTCTCCAAATCTTCAATGTGAGATGAAAGTATGTTGCGAAGATTGTCCACTGGAACAAACCCAGCGCCATTCGGACTTCGGACGGCAAACAGAACCATCAGGACATTTGAATAACTCCTCTTCATTCTCCGAAGGGAAGATGGATGTGTGTCCTTTGGTGTAAAAAAGGAACAAAATGAAATTTTATAAAAATGTGGAAAAGAGTTGTTAATTTCCAATAGGGTTTGATTTCAAGACGTACCTGTGCACTAACAAGAATTACGTCTTTGGCCTTAACTGCAAGAATTTTGTGCATTGCTCGAATGAAACCCTTGCGATGGTTCTGCAGAAAATCTTGAGCAGTTATTCTTCTGAAGCTAATACTCAGTGAGTCTTTCAACATCATATCTGACACTAGTTCAACCCAAACCTGAAATACAAATTATGTTAGCAACAGGTCGGAATTTCTGACAGCCATTTTCAAGTAGTAAAGCGGACTCTATTCTAGTAGTAAGGTAACATACCTTAATGGTTGCATATGACACAAATTTTCCATCACTCACTGATACATTCAGTTTGTACTGTCCCACATCAAGTTGAGGAGAAGCTACAATAGATCCATTATTGGAAATAATATTGAACAAAGCAGGCTGACTTGCAGCAGGCTGCTCTGTTGCCATTGGCACAAGTTTGTAAGCAAGTTGATCATACACATCTTGATCAGAAGCATGTATTCTTCCAACCTCTCCACCCACAAAATTATCTTGGAATGAATTGATCCAAATTTCTAGGGGAGTTACAATAGGAGGATACTGTGACTCTTCCACAACCTGTTCAAACACAAACAACTCCAGATTATGCAATCATTAAAAACTGTCAATTGCAATTTGATTCAAGTTTGGAGAAATGAACAGACCTTGACAACCACCCACGTGTCTGAAGATAATGGTGGGAGTCCGTAGTCAAACACTCGAACTTGTAGCACGTAAGTATCCTTATTTTTATGGTTAAACTTTGCAGCTGTGCGAATATCGCCATTCTGTTCAATGCGGAACATACCGGCATCATTGCCAGCAACTATTTCAAAAGTGAAAGGTTCAGTATTTGGAAATGTGTCAGCATCAGAAACAGTTAAGTGACACAAAGCATAACCAAGAGGTTTGTCCTCCTAAAAAGATAAATGGTGACAAAATACCACAATATTAGACAAAAATAAAGGGCTAGACAGTTCACTTTGATTCCTTGTTGTTTAACTATAGTTACCTGAACAACAGCTGTATAATTCTTTTCAGAGAAAAATGGGGCATTGTCATTTACATCAGAAATATCAATATTGACCAAGGCAATACTTGAAAGTGGAGGTATGCCACCATCAACTGCTTCAACTTCAAGAACATGACTTGATGAAACTTCTCGATCAAGTGATTTGGCGACAGAAATGTATCCAGAAGAGCTGTCAATACTAAACTGCCGCAAATTATCTCCACCTCTTATTTTGTATGTTATTTCTCCATTCTTTTCACTGTCAAAGTCACTGGCAGTCACCTGAAATATTACAATAAACAACATTTTATAGTCATGTTGTAAAAATAATGGGTAAACTTGGTTAGCATATTTAAGCATAGGGTTCTAATGAAAATTTACCTGAAGGATTTTTCCACCAATGTCAGCATCTTCCCGTATTCGTGCAGAGTATGAGGGTTGATTAAAGATGGGAGCATTGTCATTGCCATCCGAAATGGATATATTGATTGTTGCTTGGTTACTTAGTGGTGGCTCACCACCATCAATAGCTTCGATGGTAAGGAAATAGCTTCGACAAATTTCATAATCCAAAGGTTCACGAATGCTTAAAACGCCAGTTTTACTGTCAATGGCAAATTTCTTGTGTCCATTACCACTAACAATAGAATAGGATATTTCTGCATTTACTCCAATATCTTTAGATGTGGCCATCACTTTCACAACAGTGGTGTCTATGGGTGAAAGTTCTGGTACCAATGCATGGTAAAGTTTTGAAACAAATTCTGGTGGATTATCATTTACATCTAAAACTTTTACATAGAGATGAGTTCTTGTTTTGAGCTGAGGGGTGCCTTGGTCCGATGCCTCCACAGTCAAGTTGTAGTGATCCTTTTCTTCTCTGTCCAAGTGATGCGCTAAGGTAACAATACCACTGTCACTTGTTATTTTAAATTGAGGTTTACTGATGAAGGCTGGGTCATCTTCAACTATTACATATCGAACTTTACGATTGATTCCTAAAAAGAAAGAGCACTTATATGGTTCATCATTTAAAAATAACGCATCACAGAACAAATAAAACAACTATTCTATTACCTGTATCATTATCATTTGCATGAAGTTTAGCAACTAAGGTTCCAACTTGGGCATCTTCTGAGAGTGATGCAGTATATGAGACTAAAGTGAACTGAGGAGCGTTGTCATTTACATCTGCGACAAGGATTTCAACTTGAGAACTGCATTCCCATCCTTGAGTTGTCCCATCTCTATCTTGAACATGGGCAGTCAACAAGTATTTGCTTTGAGTTTCACGATCAAGAATGTGGGCAGTTCTGAGGTGACCTGGTGACATAAAACATAAATGAATTTGGGGTGTTCAACTAAATGCTTCGATGCAATAACTTAAAGCTGATCTATATCTATACATTTTTTCACATACCTCCAGCTTTATCAAGAGAAAAGTGTTCAGCACCTGTACCAGTTAAGTAGAAACGGAGGTTTTCGTGAGATCCTTCATCAACATCTGAAGCTCTCACACTCAATATGAATGTTCCAGTATCTACATCCTCAGGCACAATAGAGCGGTAACGATGGCGTAAACAGTACGGCGGATTATCTATTACAAAAATAAAACCATTCTTAACATATAGAATAAGCTGAAACTGTGAAAAAAATAAAAGGAGATGTCACATAATGTACTTACCATTGGCATCTAAAATTTCAATAGATACATTTGATGATGCCACAAATTTTCCATCTGTTGCTATTATCTGTAGATTATAATGAGGAACAGTTTCTCTGTCCAAAGGACGCACAACATACACTTCTCCAGTAGAGCGCACTGATAACTGTGAGGCAGGATCACCTGACACAATGTATAGATCTACCGGCATTTTCACTGAGTCTGCATCTGATGTGGCTAGCTGAATAATTACTGTGCCAGGAAGTGCATCCTCATTAACTGGAAAAAAATTCATAAAAAATCAATCAGACATACTGAAGTACAAAAGGAAATAAGTCTTCAAAGTTGATGAGGAAACATACCAGATGCCTTGTAATTATTGTTTGAGAAGGCAGGAGGGTTGTCGTTATAATCCTGGACTTGAATGTGAACAATACAACGAGTAGAATGTTTTGGATGACCATTGTCACTGGCAACAATATTTAACTTGTAGTGCTGTCGAGTCTCCCTGTCCAGATGTACTAAAGTTGATATCCACCCCGAATGGGGATCGATGGTAAATGTTTGACTTATATTGCTGTCCTCTTGCTCAATGGAATACCTCACTTCTCCATTGTAACCCTGATCAGTATCCTCAGCAGTTACTGAAAGTATGACATCATACAATTTCTCAAATTTCCATTTTTTAATATACTAATTTGAAAGAATAAAAATAAATAAAATACTATATACCTTTGATTACTGATGTCTTTTCCTCAACATTTTCTGAAATAACAGTTGAGTAAGAATTAGAGTGGAACTGGGGAGCATTATCATTTTCATCTAACACCTTGAGTGTTATTTCAGCTTGAGCCACTAGTGATGGGCTGGTATGTGTTTCAGCAAGAATTGCTATGTGGTGATGGTCTACAACTTCTCTGTCCAGAGACTCTTGAAGCGTCAGTGTTCCATCCTCATCTACAGCAAAAAGAGAACTGTCCTCTTGGCCTGATACAATACGATATGAAACAGACACATTTGTCAGAATCTTCAGCTGAGCGATTACAGTGCCTGCAACAAAACAGAGCAAATTACAGGGCTGGAATGTATATCACGGGGTTATCAAAGGTACTAAGTAATAGGAAGAACCCCTACCAATGGGTGACTTTTCTGAGAGGAAAAATTTCTCATCTTTCCGTTGGAAGACTGGTGGCACATCAGCAGAACCCATAATGTACACTTCAACAGGTGCATCAGCATACCGAGAGGGCTTCCCTCTGTCTTGAGCACGAACAAAAAACTGGAAAACTTGATTTTCTGCAAAGCACAATATCAAAAGACATTTAAGAGTAAAATTTATACACAAATACACAACTATGTCAGGAATATCACAGTACCCAGGGGCTTCTCACCATAAGAAAGTGCACTCTTCAGCAAGTAGAGGCCACCAGTTTGACGGTTAACCCCAAACAGATCTTTGACTCCAGGAGATTCCTTCTCGTATATGCTATATTCTACTTGAGCATTGATGTCTTCATCTCTGTCTAATGCTTTGACCTATGATATGAAGTTTTTAGTTAGAGAAAAATTAGTAAAATAAAATTAAATTTTCTCAAGATGTTTTCTAGACTGGTAGTACCTTCAAGAAGCCTGAATTTATTGTGAGATTGCTGTGAACTGAAGCCTTATACTCTCTCTGCAGGAAGTATGGAGTGTTGTCATTTTCATCAATCACTCTAATTCTAACTACTGTGTGGCCCATTCTACCACCATGATCAGCAGCAGAGACAGGTAGCTCATACAGCCTTCTTTTTTCTCTGTCTAACTTCACACGAGTAGTAACTTCCCCTGGAAAGATAATCGTGAAAGTTTATGGCAGGCAATACAAACAGGAACAGTAGGAGAAAAAATCCAAAGTACCTGAGTTTTTGTGAATAGAGAAAATTTCACTGAATAATGGTGAAGATATGGAATACGATACATGTCCATAAGCTCCATGGTCAGCGTCTGTTGCTTTTAGAATAGTAACACGAGTGCCAGGAGCTCTATTTTCAACTACTGTTGCCTCATAAAGGTGTCGACTGAACACAGGATCGTGGTGATTTGAGGGCTGCATTTCAATGTGCACACGAGTAAAACTTGTGTACACTCCATCAGTAACTGACACATTGAGAGAGTGAGCAGTATGGAAAGGTAGCTGATGCAGGTTAATAAGCCTAATAATGCCTGAAATAATTTGAAACAATATTTTAAGATGTGAAAAAATCTCAACAATATGTTTTTAATACCAAAAGGTTTACTTACCAGTACTGGGTTGAATGGTAAATGTTTGTAGGTCATTGCCTCCAACAATGGAATAAATGAGATGCCCTTGATCAACAGTATCAGCATCGCTTGCAGTAACCATTGTCACAAACTGGCCCCTCTCAGCATCCTCAGACAATACACAACTATATGATGGCAGCTCAAACTTTGGAGGGTTGTCATTCATGTCCAAAACTGACCAATGAAAGGATAGGTACAATTATTAAATTCCTGAGATTAGGCAGCCAAAGTCGCTGCTGTCTGAAGAAGCAATCTACTCTTACCTGACACCCAAACATGGGCAGAGGTAGTGAGGCTGGGAATGCCGCTGTCGTTAGCAATTACAGTAAAGTGATGAGAGTCTTGCTTTTCTCTATCTAGGGCCTGCTTCAAATAGACAGACCCATCTTCACTATCAATGTGAAAGTATTTTGTGGCATTGCCAGCATCTTGGTGAATTGAGTAGCGCACTACAGCATTGATTCCTGAAAATATTATTGTTTAAGAAAGACAAGCCTTACATTTACAATAAAAGAAAAATACACATTAAGTCTTCATGAGTCAACCAACCTGTATCATTATCTCGAGCTGTTACTTTCAATAGAGGGGAACCAAAGGTAGCTGCTTCAGAAACAGAAACTGTATAGATGTCATTGACAAACTCTGGAGGACAGTCATTCACATCTTCTACTTGTACATGCACCAGGACATCTGAGCTAACACCAGACACAGAGTCTACAGCTCGCACTGTCAGTTCATATGATTGTTTGTGCTCATAATCAAGTTCATCGATCACGTAGAGAACACCTGTAAAGGATTCAAAAGTTAAAATACAATACAGAATTATGGGGACATGACTTAATCCAATACAAAACCAAAATAGTAAAAACTGATTTAGAAAAATACTATGCACACTCATAGCATTCACAAAACTCAAACAACTGAATTTGGTTTACAGAATTTAAGTGCTGTTTTATAAATACTGTAAATATACAAGAATTAAAAGACTATCAACACTAATACAGGACAATTACAGAAAAAAAATAATCATTAGAGCTATGGGAAGTCTACAGCAGTCAAAAGGTATTAAAGAAAATCGGAAAACTGTGATACTCTATCCAACAGCACATCATCCAAAAAAAAAAAAAAAAAAAAAAAAAAAAAAAAAATGTTTCCAATAGCAGTTAAATGAAACCAAGCAGATATGAGCCATTCAATGAAACATGCATGACCATCACCAACCAAGTACACTGCAAGAACTGCATTATTACTATAGAAAAGTTTGCAAAATTTAAGGAAAAAAGAAAAATGGGCCAATTATATTATGAAAAACTAAACTAAAAATAATGGAAAGCATTTGTATAGTCAAATGAGCAAAATTTACATTTCAATGATTAAGCTAAGTGCTATTTAAAAAATCAGAAACATAACAAAATAAACAAACAAAAAAGAAAACAAAACCAAAAAAAGGCTGGATTTTAATTGAAGTTTGAACAAAACACACGATAGGCCATTAGCAGGGAAGCAAATTGATACTCACAAGTCCCAACATCACTGTTTCCAGCTGTGGAAAAGAAGAACAGCAGAAATTAAGTTTCAAGTTCAAAATTTAGACACAAGGTACCCCCAAAATTTTAATAAAACTCAAAACTCATAAATTTTTAGAGGCTTAATGATGTATTATTTTAACACATGAGGATTAAAAAAAATATTGCAAACACTTGGGCCAGAATCATTTACTATACTTTTTACATTGTACAGTATGGGGTAAGAGGCAGCATTAGTTGCTTCAAAAAATTAATTGGTAAGGTACCCAGGTAATATACAGGTTACTGTATAACAAGCAATAACTTCCAACATGCTCACCCTTCCACACCCGCCTCCAAAATAGAAAAAATAAGGTTACAGTACTACATTATAAGATATAAAACCTCCATCACCATAAGCATCACACACTACAACCATCTATCTATAACAGGCAGTTAAGTCTGGAAAGAGGAGTTAATATGACCCAATGATCTGTAAGCTTGACAAGTTAAATTTTATGTTCTGGAAAAAACCATTTTTCTTCACAAAACTGCAGTTATTAGAAATGAGATTTACATGCACACGCAAGGCAATCCACAATAACCCCATACCCTGCTTATTCCAAACACCATCAAATCCTGAAATGATGGAATGGTCTTTACTTTGCTTACAGTGAATGTATGTATAAAGAGTGGTAATAATTGATAGAGAAAGGCAACATTTAAATATTGTAAAATATTTTGATTTAAATAACAAGCACTCACCTGTGTTGAAATCCACAGCAAATTCTTCAAAGTCATTGCCCTTGACAATAGAGTAAATGAGCTTCCGACCAAGAGCTGATTCAGCAGAGATACTAAGATCCAACGGTGAAAATAGTTCAATATTTTCCGGAACAGAAACAGTGTAGAACTGTTTGTTGAAAACAGGCATAGATCGATCGATCACTTTGACATGCACAAAAACATCAGTTGAGCAGGGATTTACACCTGAAATAAACAAGAACAGAATTTGTGAAAAACTTCAATGAGATTCCTTAATTTACAGTAACTTGTTACTAGAATACTAAAACATTACCTCCATCATAGGCAGCAATCAAAAGTTTATATTCCTGATTATGACCCTCAAGATTTTGTCTCAAGATTATTTCACCAGACTTTCTAGAGACACGGAATAACTCTCCATGGCCTTTCTTGAGCTCATAACGGACTTCTCCATTTTCTCCACTATCCAAGTCAACTGCTTGAACCTAATGAAAAGGAAAGAAAAAAAGAAACAAGGCTGTTAGCTAAATATTTGGCTGTGATGTGATTTACAAGTTTCAATGGGAAACTTGTCAACATACCTTGGTAATTACTTCCCCTTTCTGAGAGTCAACAGATGCAACAGCATAATAAGGTAAATTCACAAACATGGGACAGTTGTCATTTACATCAATTATTGTAACATTAACGGTTACATGGGCAACTCGAGTTTGATCTTCACCATAGTCCTTGCTTCTAGCCTGAACAAAAAAAAATTTGTAATGTTAGACTGATGAAGCATAAACAAATGAATAAAATAAAGCACTGCATTTACCTCAACAATTAAATAATGATGCTCTTGTAGTTCACGATCAAATCGTTTTCCAGTAGTTCTAATTGCACCTGAAGTTTCGCCAATTTCAAACATATCGGTGGGATTAAGTATTCTGAATTCTATGTGTTCATTGAGAGCAGAACCCAATAAATTTACAACAGTCACAGTAATGATTTTGGTACTGTTTTCTACTATATTAGCATAATAAGTACTCTTCTGGAAAACTAGACCTGAGTTTTCAGACTTTTGAACCTGTAATAGATTTTTTGAAAATATGTTTATTTGGACCAGACTATTACATCTAGAAATATCCAAATTTTGCTTATTTATAGACTTACCATAATATTAATGAGTGCCGCAGATGTAAACTTTCCATCAGAGACTTTGGCAGTTAGCTTAAACAAACTCTTTTGTTGAACTTTGGAAGGGTCAACCACAGTCAAGACACCTGACTTGCTGTCAAGAGCAAAAGTTCCCTGGATGCCATTACTTTCCAACTCATATGAAAGCGGGGAGAAAGGTGATGAATCTCGGTCAGTTGCATTCACCTAAAAAAGTCGAGCTCCGAGTTAGAGATACATAAAATAAATAGAGGTGGAGTGAGAATTTTGGGGGGTAATTTCTTAAGGAAGTCTTACTTGAAGAACAGCCACATTTAGATATGTGGGCAAAAGAAGAGTAACATTGTATTCATCACTTGTAAACTGTGGTGCACAATCATTGACATCAACAATGTTCAATACAACTTCAGCCAACACCTCTGAGGTGAGTCTTGGTTTTCCTCGATCTGACACCCTAACATGGAATTTGAATACAGGCATTGTCTCATAGTCCAGCAAATTGACTGTCCTAATAGCTCCTGAAAAGAGTTAAAAAAAAAATTCAAAATTAAAATGTCTATTTTACACTATTAAAAAGTAGAAACTTTACAAGAGACTGGCACAGACCGCACAGACACGACTTTCATTACCTGTATTTGAATCTATGTGAAAATATTTTCGTGGTAAGTTTTCAACAATATCATAATGGAGAAGAGCATTTAGGTCTGAATCCTTGTCAGTGGCTTTGATGACTAAAGGTGTGCTCGCGTTAGTTAGAACCAAAGAGCCAACAGGGACATTTTCTAAAAGTGTGCCAATGTACAGATTTTGAACGAATCTCGGAGCATTGTCATTTGTATCCAGAACATGTACAATTACATGAGAACGAGCTTTAACACCAGCCTGAAATAGAGTAAATACGCTCAGTTTCCAGAAAAAGTTTGTTTTGATTACAATTGGTTGATTTAATGTTTTGCCTTGCTTACCATGTTGGTGGCTTCAACAGTTAAATTGTAGAATGTTTTGTGTTCATAATCAAGGGGTGTTTTTGTACTGATCACTCCAGTTGATGGGTTCATTAGAAAGACACCATCATCATCTCCATTGACAATTTCTAGAGTGCAAGATGAGGTACTTCTGATTTCAACATGTTTTACATATGTTCCCAAAGGCAGATTTTCATAAACTTCAGCAAGTAGCTGGTCTTTGATGAATCTAAAAATTTTAAGAAAATTAAAATAATTAAAAAATTACATACCTAGTTTAAATTTAAAAAAAAAAGGATAGTGTTTTAGAATGCCTACAACACAAGTGCACATAATATTAAACTGATAACTCACCTCGGAGGGGCATTGTCTGCCATAGTCACCATGATGTGCACAGGTACAGTGGCTGAGAGAGCAGGTACACCATTGTCAGAGGCTTTGATAGACAGCATGTACTCTGGATAGTGGCTTATGTCCAGTTCTCGAGCAACAGTTAGATATCCAAGAGATGGATCAATGGCAAACATATTTCCAACGTTCCCTGAAAAGAGAGAAAGAAAGTAATTACTTGAATACATGTTTGCAGCACAGGTGATTAACAGATAGGCAGTTCCATAATGCTTACCAGATGCAATGCCATAAGTGATTTCTGCATTCTTCCCCCTGTCTTTATCTGTGGCAAGCACTTGCATAACGGCTGAGCCAGGGGCAGCACTCTCATAGACACGGCCTTGAATGATGGGACTTGAAAACTCAGGTGTATGATCATTGAAGTCGTGAACAATTACATGGACACGAGCATAATTCCTTTTCGATGGGGTGCCTTGGTCCTTGACCATAACAGTCAACACATGCTCATCCATTGTCTCACTGATATAAAAAACAAAAGGGAAAGAGCAGTAAGTAAAGGAACAGATATAAAAACAATAAGAGCCTGAAAAAATTCAACATACCAATCCAAAGGAGCAGAGAGCGTAAGAATACCCGTTACAGAATCAAGTTTGAACAATTCTAATGAAGTTGGGCTCTGCGCTGTATGCAAGCTATAGAACACACGGTCAGTACCATCGAGGTCAGTGGCGTGAAGCTCAAGCAGTGATGTGCCAACCTCAGCACTCTCAGCTACCTCAACTTTATACTCAGTATCTGAAAACTCAGGCCTGTGCTCGTTTGTGTCAAGAACCGTAACATAAAGCTGTAAAAATAACAAAAAAAATGTATTCTTGTTGACAATTATCCAAGCAAATAATTATAGATCAAAGTAAAAAAGAAGAAAAACAAAAAAACAACCAACCTGTGTGTAAACTGTGTGGTGCATGTCAGACACACTGATAGTGAGGTTGTAGAAATTTTGGGTTTCATAATCCAACTGCTTCGCTAGTAACACATTTCCTTGATCTCTCCCAATGTAGAATTCATCTCGTTTGTCACCATCTAGGGAAAATAAAAGTTATATTAGAGAAAAGCAAAACAAGATGTGAACAGGTTTCTCCAAACATGTAAGGTAAACTTACCAACTATATCAAACCAAAGCTTATCATTATCTTCATCAGATGCTTGAATAAGAGCTACCAAGTATTTTGCTTTGTCACTCTCTGTGATCTGAACTTGTTGATCAACCGTTTTAATTTGAGGTGGATGAGGTGATGATGACGGAACAGACACAATTTGAACAGACACACGAGTAGTTGCACTTCTTTGAGGAGTACCTTGATCCATTGCTCGAATCTGAAATGAAATGAAATGGTTATTAGCATCACGCAAAAATTGACTCGGATAAAACTTAAACTTGGTATTTGATTGTTTGCCTTACAAGTAAGTCATATTCAGAACCTCCAGCAAGGGATTTTTGGGAGTACACAGTACCAGTGTATGGGTGGATTCTGAACTTCCCTTTCCCACGTCCAGATTTGATGCTGTATTCAACCTGCCCATTTGGACCAACATCTTGATCAAAGGCCAAAACCTGGGAAAAACCAAATTATCATTAGATAAAAAAAAATTGGCCTTTATTTGCCGACCTAAATCAGGATAGAGAAATATAATTAAGCTCAATAAAGTAAAAACAGGCCTAAAAAGCATGCTCCACAACATGCAAGATAAAATTCACACATCATCAATAGATTAATTAAAATATACCTACTACATTATAATACCACAAACTAAAATAAAACAATTCCCTTCCCTGTTCAAGGAAGCTATTGATACAAAAAAATACAAAACCAACACTGAGAAACAGAGTGCAGCTATAAATTTATGTATAGGAAGCAGAAACTACTTCATGTGTACTGGGCGTATACACAGGGTCACGCAAAATACAAAGAAAACCAGTGGTTAATAATAAAGTAATCATGCATCAGTACAGTGCATTTAAAAAAGGGGGGGAATAAAGATTGTCAGGATGGTGCATTTGTTCTTGTAGAACTGTTAAACACACTTCTTTCAAACATCCAGAGAAAATGGGTAATGACCCAACTATGCATTGCTGTTTTGAAAATGAAATAAATATGGCATCTCACTAGAGAATGTAGAACCATGTGGCTTATCTACAAACAGAAAATTGTCATGCCTCGGTTGTTTCTAGCAAAATGCAAAATTTAAAAAATCGTAGAAGCACAAATTTCTTCATGAAAAAACAACAACAAACAGGCGTGAAAAATGCAGTGCCATTTGAATGAAAAAACCAGGCACTGTCTTACCCTCAACAGGCGATCCCCAGTAATTGAGGTCACCTCAAAGAATTCCCATGTTCCATTTTCAAGATCAGTTAGATCAGCATCACCTGTAGAATTCTGTTAGGGGAAAGCCAAGAGAGGTATAGCACTTCAAGAATAAGCAAAACCAATTTCTTGAGTTCCAGTAGTAAGAGCTATAGACATTGCCCAGAAAAATGCAACCCGCAAATTCATATGTGTAAGAATCCTGTAGCAGTTTCAACCAATATTTTGAAACTAAATCTCATTGGTGTCTCATGTAGAGTATTAAAAAACACAAAGAAACTCTTGTGAATGTTTATCTAAATCATGCTCATTTCCATCTGTTAAACTTTCTTCTCCTTATTACGAAACACAGTTAGTATTTGTCATAAGTTACACTAATTGTTATAAAAGATTAACATTAATTTAGTGGTAGTGGTGTCTCGTAAAATTTCACTTAATTTTTAAGCTTCTCCAAAGTATGAAAATGAATTCTATACGTCAATAGTTACCTGGAATAGGGCAGCGTCTGCTCTTGAACTTTCGGGAACACTGACATGATAAAAGGTTTGCTCAAATTCTGGTGCATTGTCATTAACGTCCTGAACAGCGACAAATAGTCTTGTTGTAGATGATAAAGGTGGGTTCCCATGGTCCGAAACAGTGATCTGGAAGTAGACATTCCATTACGTTAGGGATTCTTAAGTGAAAGGTTGTTGGAGTCAAGTGCCCAAAAACACAAAAGCGGCCTTACCTCGAGATTATGCTCTGGTTGATTTTCGCGGTCAAGTCGTCGCTCTGTGGTTGTCACCACACCTAAAATTTCAATAAAAGACGTGAGGCAGCCCATTCGTCCACATCATCACTTGCAAAAATTCTTCTGTTTGATAGATCTATTAAGTTTAAAGGTAGGCAACAGAAACACGGCGACTACAATGACTCACCCGTGTCCGGGTTGATGACGAAGAAGTTCTCGGGGTTGCCCGCCGTGATCCGGTAGGTGAGCTTGCCGGGGGTAACGTCGCGGTCCCTCGCCCGCACCTCGGCGACCCACTTGCCGGCCGGCGAGTTCTCGGCCACCTCGCCGCGGTACGAGGCGAGCAGCGGCTGGGGCGCGTTGTCGTTCACGTCCAGGACGGCGATGTACAGCTGCGGGGAGGTAACACCATTCCGTCAACATTCATTCTCAGGAAAAAAAGAAACATTTGTAGCAAAAAAAAATAAATAAAAAAAAAATCATTTTTTTGGTATCATTATTATTTGTGGGCGGTTGTAGGAATACAAAAAATATAATAATTAATAATCATTCGTAGCAAAGCAAAACAGAAAACACTTTTATAAAAAGAATGGCAATAATGGCGGCACGTATCGGGCTTACCTCGAGGCGGCTGCTCAGCGGCACCACGCCGTGGTCCTGCGCCACCACCGTCAGCCAGTAGTGGACCCGGGACTCGGCGTCCAGCGGCACCAGCGTGCGGACGTGACCTGCGGGCCAAAAGCAAAGACGGGGTCAAGACAGGGTCAAGTCGGGGTCAAGTCGGGCGCACTTTTTACAACGCGCCTAGTGTGGTGACTAACGCGTTTTAAAGAGTGAGTGCTACACACAAACACAGCTGTATTGTATTGTCTTGGGCGACGCTAATTGGCGTAGAAAATACTTGAGTGAGCGAGGCCATGGCCATATCCCTCGACCGACCACATACCGCTGGCTCATATACTTTTCCTTTACACCATTCCATTCTTCAGCCCCCCACCCCTCCTCCTTCAAGTAGTTCTCCCACCCCTTCCCCTTTTCTCTGTTTTCCGTTTGCCCCCCTTTTTCTTTCCGATACCACTTGGGGCCGCGAGCCGCGACGGTGGAAGTGCCCCGCCCCGCCCCGCCCCGCCCGGGCCCACCGCAACAGCGGGGCGATGCAAAATCAATGGTCCATAAACAGCCTGGGCGCCGTTTTTACGAGTTGCGGGGAACCCACCACCAACCAACCCTCCTCGACCCACAGGCGCGGTGGTGAAGCGCGGGGCGCGGGGGGCACAGGCAGGTCACCGACAAGCCCCGGCCGGACAGCAGCAGCCGCACTTCACCCGACAGGCACACGATAGGCCCCCGCGGCTGACCCACTGACCCCGCCGCCGCTGGCACCGACGCCATATGGGGGTGTGTCGGAGCCGGGCCAATAACTGTCGGGCGCAGCCAGCGAGGCCTCACTCATCGCGAGCACAACGGCAGGCTGCTGGACCCACAGCGCTATAGGCGGGGCCTGGGCTGGAAGCACACCGCCATGGAGCGCCCGCCAGCGCCCGGGTAGGCAGTCCCGCGGCGCAGCGGTGCCCGCCCGCTCCGGATGTTGCCTACCCACCGGGCGCCCGCCAGTGGCCGGGTAGGCAGTCCCGCGGCGCAGCGGTGCCCGCCCGCTCCGGATGTTGCCTACCCGCCGGGCGCCCGCCAGCGCCCGGGTAGGCAGTCCCGCCAGCGCCCGGGTAGGCAGTCCCGCGGCGCAGCGCCCGCTATGGATCGATGGATGTCGCCTAAAGGCAGGTGTGTACAAGGAGTTGGCAAGTTGCGACGAGTTGAAGCGGAATGGGGCGCGGGGTGGGCGCGAGTTGGGCCCCCTTAGTTTGGCGCGAGTTGGACGCGAGCGGGGCACATATATGGCAGGTCGGCAGGTGCACAACGAGTTGGTGAGAGTACGGGGGAACACCCTTTTAGCTACAAAGGGTTTCGATCATTGTGGATCAATGCGCAGCGCTTTATTTGTATGGTCATCAGGCCCTCACAGACTAATTAAGACTGGAACTCCCCGGGTCCACGGCAAACCTCAGCCAATTAGGGCCGCTTATATAGCGAGCCAGGGGGGACGCGTTCGACACGAGTGTCACGCATACGCCAGGCAGTCAGTATACTCGGTCGCTCCACAGCTCCCGTTTGAATACGCAGATACGTACACCGATCGAATGACACACACACTGTCTAAACGACACCTGCCCTGCGTGCACATTCTGAATGGGGAGGGACAATTTCTGAACCGTTGGTTATAGACGTGTCTTCATCAGGTAAAAATTTGTTTGTACGGAGATACAAACTGTACCTAGGCTAGGTACAAATGCTGTCTACGTACAAAAATCTCAATCAAGAATCGATCTTAGTTAAAAATGGGTCTGTGGTCTGTGTTCTACTTATTTCCTCTCATATTTAGCTGTCATTTGTTTATGGCTGCTTGTTAATTGCAAATCTTGCTATTTGGCTATTTTAAAAGAGGAGATAGGGGAAGATGGGTAGAATTACGGCCGGCACCGGTGGCTAAGTATTGTTGGGCAGGGGACCTTCTCAGGTAGGCTGATGGGTCCTTCCCGGCCCCGGCGCAGTGTTGTTAGCCAATGTTCGGGAAGCAGGGGCATAGCGCGACACTCACTCATCCACACACAATTCCCTTAGCGCCAAATAAAGTCTTTTCCGGCCTCCGCTTGGTTCTCTTTCCGTATCGAGAGTAAAAGCTAGCGGAGCCCTTACGGTTACTTATATATTCTTTATGATTAGTCAGAGGGTTTTTAAGGTATCATCTGCTAAAAATGGTACTTAATGTGTTCTACAGTGTCGTCCCGAAAAGTCGAGAGACAAAAGGGGAGGCGAGACGCCACACCTCTTCCAATAAGGCAGTAGATTTGCCTGCTGACAATTTCATGCCAAGTCGCAGACCAGGAGAAAGCAGCACACAGCAGCGCATCACATACCGGCGGCAAACAAAGGAAATAAGAGTAAAGAGGAGGAATGCGAGACGTATCATGTGTGGGGGTCTGTCACATTGTGACAAAGAAAGTGCCGTCACCCCCCCCCCTTCTCGACTCACAAACTTCCCCTCCCCCCCCCCCCTCTCTCTCTCTCTCTCTCTCTCTCTCTCTCTCTCTCTCTCTCTCTCTCTCTCTCTCTCTCTCTCTCTCTCTCTCTTTCTCTCTTTCTCCCTCTCTCTCTCTCTGCGAGGTGCTGCCAGAGGGCGTGAATAATGATGACTATATGGAGGCTGTTGGGTGACGGCCAACCAACTTCTGACACGCGGTTGACGAAAGCACATAAATACACACTATATGAGGTTCCAAACATCATCATCAAAATGTCATGGATATTTTCTCCCCGTTTTTTTTAAAGCGAACCCGTTAATGTCGTTTCCATCACACTGCATACAGAGAAGGGGGGGGGGGGGCGTCATGTCGCCGCGACCAACTGTTGCATTTCCACGGAATTAACTCTCCAACAATCAGCTGCACTATACGGGAGCGGCCCCGCCCCGCCGCCCCATTATAGTACCCAAAACAGAGAGGTAATTGAAGTAAATTTCTAGGATACTGGCTACTGCCACCAAGCTTTTCTGGTGGTCAATCAATCTGTTTGCAATGCAAACATTCATGAGCGACCACACCGACAACAACATAGTTGAATTCCAAGTACCAGGTGGTCAGAGCGGTGCCGCAGGGGCCACGACGCATTATGGACGGCAAGAATGGGCAAACTCAAAACACTATACAACTGCAGCGCCGATGATCAACTTCCGATAACTCTTATAATATGCACTACGCAAAAACAAAAGGCGGAAAATATTTCCACACGAATTTGCCGACTGATTTTTTAAAACTAAAATGTTTACTAATTTACTGACATGTAATTCTGATTTCTACATCAGGGGTTCGTTTTGCAGTGTATGCGAAGAGTTTTTTCTTATATTCTTCGCCTCTTTTTTGCCTGTTGACGGCGAAGAAGAAGTCACAGAATCCTCGCTTTCTCGTCCCCCAACCCCGAGTTGGTTCCCCTTTCAGGATCGGGCTGCCTCTACCACCTCCGTCTATCTCGCGTTTGGTGGGCCTGGCCGGGGAGGTGGGCGAGTAGGAGTGGGAGACAAGGGGGAGGGGGGAGG